TCGCAAGTCTTGTTTGTCAGAACACATGATCAACCCGATTTGAGATTAATGTTGAAATGAGTCTAATGAGTCAATGAGGTATGAGTCAATGAGTTATGAGTCAAAAAATTTTGCTGCATTTTCTTAACCACAGTTTTGTAACTGCGGATAAGATTTCGCCTGATTTGCATAAAATTTATCTTCGAATTTCTCGGCTACATTTTACATTATGCCCAACATAACTCTTAGATATATCTCTCTTAGAAGGTTAGATATATCTATTCCAGGGACCGCGGACCGTTTTTCGTATTGCTGGGCTCGAAACCGCGCGCCTCCTAGGAGAGTCCGGGAAAATTTTGAAATAAGGTCTCTGAAATCGCCGCAAATGCCTCTCAAAAGGATTAATGGAAAATAATAGATAGCATGTAAAGTTTCCAGCATGTTTGACATCGACAACCACGCTGTTTTAATGGTCAAATGCTTGCCCTATGTAAAATTTCCAGCATGTTTGGCGCTCATATACAAACATTAAAAAATATAACCATGCTTTGGTTATGATGTCAAATATTTTGATATGGACAACCACGCTGTTTTAATGGTCAAATACTTGTCCTATGTAAAGTTTCCAGCATGTTTGGCGCTCATATACAAACATTAAACAATATAACTATGCTTTGGTTATGATGTCAAATATTTTGAAATAGATAACCACGCTGTTTTATTGGTCAAATGCTTTTCCTATGTAAAGATTCCAGCATGTTTGGTGCTCATATACAAACATTAAACAATACAACGATGCTTTGGTTATGATGTCAAATATTTTCATAAGGATAACCACGCTGTTTTAATGGTCAAATACTTGTCCTATGTAAAGTTTCGAGCATGTTTGGCGCCCATATACCAACATTAAACAATATAACCATGCTTTGGTTATGATGTCAAATATTTTGAAATGGATAACCATGCACGCTGTTTTATTGGTCAAATGCTTGTCCTATGTAAAGTTTCCAGCACGTTTGGCGCTCATATACAAACATTAAACAATATAACCATCCTTTGGTTATGATGTCAAATATTTTGAAAGGGATAACCACACTGTTTTAATGGTCAAATGCTTGTCCAATGTAAAGTTTCCAGCATGTTTGGCGCTCTTATACAAACATTAAACAATATAACCATGCTTTAGTTATGATGTCAAATATTTTGAAATGGATAACCACGCTGTTTTAATGGTCAAATGCTTGTCCTATGTAAAGTTTCCAGCATGTTTGGCGCTCATATACAAACATTAAAAAATATAACCATGCTTTGGTTATGATGTCAAATATATTGATATGGATAACCACGCTGTTTTAATGGTCAAATATTTGTCCTATATGTAAAGTTTCCAGCACGTTTGGGGCTCATATACAAACATTAAACAATATAACTATGCTTTGGTTATGATGTCAAATATTTTGAAATAGATAACCACGCTGTTTTAATGGTCAAATGCTTGTCCTATGTAAAGTTTCCAGCATGTTTGGCGCTCATATACAAACATTAAACAATATAACCATGCTTTGGTTATGATGTCAAATATTTTGATATGGATAACCACGCTGTTTTAATGGTCAAATACTTGTCCTATGTAAAGTTTCCAGCATGTTTCGCGCTCATATACAAACAATAAACAATATAACCATGCTTTGGTTATGATGTCAAATATTTTGATATGGATAACCACGCTGTTTTAATGGTCAAATACTTGTCCTATGTAAAGTTTCCAGCATGTTTGGCGCTCATATAAAAACAATAAACAATATAACCATGCTTTGGTTATGATGTCAAATATTTTGAAATGGATAACCACGCTGTTTTAATGGTAAAATACTTGTCCTATGTAAAGTTTCCAGCATGTTTGGCGCTCATATACAAACATTAAACAATATAACAATGCTTTGGTTATGATGTCAAATATTTTGAAATGGATAACCGCGCTGTTTTATTGGTCAAATGCTTGTCCTTTGTAAAGTTTCCAGCATGTTTGGTGCTCATATACAAACAGTAAACAATATAACCATGCTTTGGTTATGATGTCAAATATTTTGACATCGATAACCACGCTGCTTTAATGGTCAAATGCTTGTCCTATATAAAGTTTCCAGCATGTTTGGCGTTCATAACAAACATTAAACAATATAACCATGCTTTGGTTATGATGTCAAATATTTTGATATGGATAACCACGCTGTTTTAATGGTCAAATGCTTGTCTTATGTAAAGTTTCCAGCATGTTTGGCGCTCATATACAAACATTAAACAATATAACCATGCTTTGGTTGTGATGTCAAATATTTTGAAATGGATAACCACGCTGTTTTATTGGTCAAATGCTTGTCCTATGTAAAGTTTCCAGCATGTTTGGTGCTCATATACAAACATTGAACAATATAACCATGCTTTGGTTATGATGTCAAATATTTTTATATGGATAACCACGCTGTTTTAATGGTCAAATACTTGTCCTTGTCCAATTCACATTGGGAGATCAGTGAGATCAACGTATCATTCTTAGATATCCTGGTTTCCATCATTAGCAATAGGCTCTCTACCTCAGTGTTCTACAAGCCCACTGACTCCCATAGCTACCTCTTATATTCCTCCTTCCACCCCAGCCACACTAAGAGGTCTATCCCCTTCTCACAATTCCTTCGTCTCCGCCGCCTTTGCAGTGAAGATGATGACTTCCAGCCCAAATGTCTGGAGATGAAAACATTCTTTGTCGGGCGCAGCTATCCCTCCCCACACATTGACACTGCCTTATCTAAGGCCTCTGACATTTCCCGCTTAGACACCCTTAGAGACTCAGTCCCTAGCACCCCTAGCAGTAATTTTACTCCCTTAGTTCTTACACATCATCCCTTCAATTTTGCTCTTAGGGATATTTTACTTAGGAATTTTCATATCCTGCAGAATGATCCCGAGACATCTTCCATTTCCACCGATAACCCCTAGTCTCTATTCGGGACAACAAAAATATCCGGGACACATTGGTTCACACCTCTCTACAGCAAAACTGTTCAGAGTCCAATGGCACATTCCCATGTGGCATTGGCCAATGTAAAACATGCTCATTTACCGATTCCAGCACTTTTATTTCGATTCCTAATTTACAGTTTGTGATCAGGCACCATTTCACATGCCTCCCCTCCAACCTCATTTATTGCATCTTATGCAACAAATGTGGTTTACTATATATCGGCGAAACTGGAAGATCTCTAAGGGTAAGGTAATCATTGTATCACGGACATAAAAATTAGAGCCCTCTGTCCCATTTCCGGTACACTAACAAATGCCGTTAACGACAAGAAATGCGACTCATCCACAGTCTTGGCACTCTCCATCCCTCTGGCATAAATGAAAGACTCTCTTTCATTTAAATCATTTCACCCATAGTAATATGACTACCATTTCTTTGTTTAAATCAAACCTGGTTGTAATGCGTTTTCGTTGCTGATCAGGCTTCCTCATTGCGCGCTATTCTTAGCCCACGGTCAAGCGTCTCTTTAGCAATGTAATGTATTCCAATTTGTTTTGATTTTTTGTTCTCTATTGGCCCTTTTTATCACGTGTTTTGTCCCCATACAAAACATGTATTCTACCCTAAGGCCCTCAGGTCGAAACGTCGGGAAGTGTTTTGTCTAATTTAGGCAGTTGTTATACCACACTTGATGCTAAGTTCTTTGAAGACGCTGCCACGCTGCTCCCTGGTAATATTCTAATTAGGCAGATCTGTCAACTAGTTCTACATTACAATGAAAATCTGGCTTTTTGCTCAGTTTTCGGCTTTTTGCTCAGCTCGGTTTTTAAGTTTGGTAAGTTAATATAAAGTTAAATGTGGACTTGACACTATACTTTATCAATGCAGATGTTGCTTGCTAATTCACTTTACTTAATGTCGATTAAGGCAAAACTGACAACTGTTAGACATTTTGTGAGATAAATTTACCTACTTGACACTGTGAGAACCCTCTAAGGTTTTTTAGTTTAATAAATACACACACACATTTGGTATCAGAACTTTGAAAGTAAAAATGTAATTTAGTCTCTACTTAGTATAACTATACATCATCATTATACTTCAATGAAACTTAATTCAATAATTTAACAACAATGTAACTGTTTATTGGCATATGTCACATGACATTAAGTTTTATGTATGATTGTTTTTTGCTCTAGACCTATATATATTTGTTTATACACTATCTTAACGTTGGCATTTCAAAGTGATGGGTTTGAGATATTGATGAGAAACACTAATTTTTAGATTTTTGGTTTTAAATAATGATTTACAGTTGCGGCCTGTTGGAGGCGTTTCGATGATTTTTTACCAATTTATTTATCTGTACGGAGGTCATCAAATATTTTAGAAATCTCGGCTGAAAAAAATTCCTGTAACCGTATTCATGGCCAGAAAATTCGGACATAATTAACATTCTACTTCCGCCTAGATTTGCATATGGTGTCAAAATAAAGCTTCGTGAGTTTATAGTAAACTGTAATGTGCAAAGTACTAAACGCTAAAAATACACCTTTAGGTAGGTCGATTAGAATTTGCCTTAATTGCTCGTTGCAGGGCAAGTTAATCTTAATATTTTTATATGATATATCAAAATATTTTATCAGTATTCGTCCTGCATTTTCAAAACAAAGTTTTGGTCATTTATCACGTTGAATACCATATAAAACGAAAACCGTAATAGCGTAGAAATAAAATAAAAATGCAGAGCCGACATAAACCTTTACCAGCAAAAAAATACCTCAGGATCTTTAATATGACACGAATTACGAGAAACAACCAGGGCAAATAGCAAAGATGTAATGATTTTCTTAAATTTTGCGAAATTTAAGAATGCGCAATATCATTTATAGTTCTGCAAACGAATAATATTTGAACAGATATGCAAATTTGCTACGGCAATCTGCATATTCCATGTCCGCAATTTCTGGCCATGTTCACTGACAATCAGTTTTTCCGACATTGGTTACTGACGCATACGCAGACGTTTCTAGCATGTATTGTTTTGTACTGACTCAATTATTGCGCTTGTCTAGCTAGGCAGCCTCAGAAAAGTATCGTAGCTACAAGCCGCTGTGTAGTACATGAGGTCAGGCCGTCGCTAGATCGCTTAATTGGGGGTTTATATTCATTTTTACATAATCACAATAGCAACGGCGTACAAAAGAAATCAGCCGGGCCCAGTTAAGCTTACAGTCAAGTCAACTCTCCTTTTATTTCTACTCCCAGGATTTCTAAACCAAAATACACTGCAATTCGTTGTCATTTTCTCCCAGTACAGTGGGCTCAGTTTTCCAGCGGTCTTAGCAATAAAAATTAAAAGCTTTTCATTTTACGGACTGCTCTCAATTTTATGTAGGTTGCCCCCTGACGATATAAGCCTACACGAGTTGGAGAAATTTAGTTAATTTGGACCAGCGTGATTCAATATTTTTACCAGTGTATAGTTATATATAGTTTCCTATAGTTATTTGCTACTTCCATTCCTTGATCTATACGAGACCAGGTTGCCAGTTGACATAGGAATTATCTTGCTTTTCGCAATCTTTCATGCCATCATCAATAACTACTGGTACATAGTTCTAGCAGGAAAGAAATTAAATGGGTATATCAGAGAAAGCTGGCAAACATGTACTTATTATTCGCAAAGAATTTCAAACCGAATTAAGCTTCGCGGTAGCATTAACGTGGCGCAATATACAGTTCATTCAAAGAAGGTTGTCTTAAACAAAATACAGATCCGTGATAAAAAGTAAAAATTTAAGAAAAATGATGGGTTTACCGGAAGTTTGTTTCGTTTTGGATCAAATTAAATCATAACTCGATAAGGACAAAAAATACTTTTGTCAAGATGTTAACACGGCATGCCGTATACTTGTAAAGCAAATTCATTCTTGTGAGAAGCCCTTAATCAGATAACATATGTTTTGGGAGACACATGTGCTGAACTCAACACTGTGTTCAATAAAAGAAAAGAACTTTAACTCATTTGCACTACCGGATGTATCAGAAGAAAGTAGACAATTATGAAATATTTCGTAAACTATGAAGTTATCAAAACATTGCAAAGAATCGTGCAAATATGGGTACGTTAGATGTAACATTACAAAAACAAACATGAAATTTAACCTCGAAAAACGGAAGAGGGGGTTGTAAAAACCTCATTTTCACATGCCTGTGCAAGCATGATTGACTTGTTAAAAGTGAATTTTGATTTTACGGAATAAAGGTTCAGGTTTTTGTATACAAAATAATTATGGCAATTTCAGAAAATTTGATGAAAAATATGTACGCCAAGCAGATGCGTAAACTTGGTTAATTTTTTTCTCAACTTACAGCTTGCGCGACCTTCTTCATTCTCGAATGATTTAATGCATGAATGATTGCTGAACGCCAACAATGGGGTTGGGGTAAAACACGGATCACGGATGAGGGGATAAAACACGAATGAAGGAATAAAACACGGATGAGAGGATAAAACAGGGATGAGAGAATAAAACACGGATGGCATGAATAAAAGAACCTTTTGAGAATACAAGATTTACAGACTTTATGTCTGAATTCAATTCGTGAGTCAAAATCTTCTTGAGTCAAAACGCTCGAGCGTTCCAGTCTTATTTGAGTTCACTCGTCGTAAATAAACGGCCGTTGCAAGTTGCCATAACTACAGTGCTTTCACTTACCGAGAAATATATCCATACTTCTTTTCTTACATACCATATGCTTAACTATAATTTAGTTTAACCGAGGCAAGGGGTTGCTGCATGCATGTATTTCAAGTAAATATATATCTACGTGGTGTACCTACACAAGATATTTTATACTACCAGAAGCGCTATTGATAAACCGTAATATTGTCTCACGATGTCTTTAAAATAAAGACAAAACATACTGACTTTGTCTTTACACTTTTTATTCTACGAACAAAAACTCGTTTATCAATCATAATTGAGCTATATATTTTTCCATTGTTTTAAGGAAACTCGAGCAGAATGCCAAAAGTAAACTGCTCCTAAACTTGCCCCAACTAGCAAACGGCGTCTGAAACCCTTAGTACATTTATTGCAGACAACAAAGAAAGTTATTCTCACCGAGCCATCCTCGACTTTTTTTTCTAATGCGAAAACCAAGTCTTTAAAATCCGGTCTGGAATCTGCATTGGTTTGCCAACATGATTTCATTATTTCAAATCTGAAATGAAAACGACAATATATATATTTTTGCCTATTAAACCACTTTTTAAGTTTTTGTTTTCAATCTGACTGGCTACGAAAGCTGTCCGTATGATACCGAACAGTTTCTATGAAAACCATTTTTCATAGTCTCGTAGATAAAAGGAAATATAGAGACTTATATATACTACAAAAACTATTTAATTATTCATAACCAGTTTAGGTTATGCAATCAACTCCATAATCGCATGTGGTGGCTTTATAAACGGTAAAATACAGCATCGCATTGTTCAACGTATCCGCCCTGTTTATATTTTTTATTTAATTCGAATGTTATTGATTTAATGATGAAAGGGAGATAATCTCGTGCATTCTGAATCTTATATTAGCGATAATTTTGGGATCGGTACATGTTAATGGGTAATATTTAAGGGTTAGAGACTGTTGTGAGTGTTTTGTTTACAAATAAACGCACGCGCTGACCATACAATGAACGAGAAATTTCAATATTGCACGAGGCCGTAGGCCGAGTGCAATATTGAAATTTCGAGTTCATTGTATGATCAGCAAGTGCGTTTATTTGTAAACAAAACACGAACATAAAGTCTCTAACACTTTTAATATACAATCTGAGTTCACTGATTGCTGCAATGATGATCCAAGGCAAGGACTATATTTATATGAGAAATTGAGATTGAAAAGACAAATATAAAAGGAAGGGAATTCAAACAGTTCAACAATTTATTATCAAATTATCTGACAAGCATAGTTTAACACAATAAAACATTTTAAATAAGCTAAGAATTAACAAAACAAAGTTTTACCAATGGGGGACTCACCGCGGGAAGCCCGCTTAGTGCAGCATGTCATTTTTTTGTCCCTGCTTGCCATTGTAAGTAAACGTAAAATTGCAGTTTTCGAAACTTGCAATTCCAAAGTCAACAAATTTGGGGGATGTTGTCTTGGCAAAGGTGTTTTTGTAACTTATTTCATTTCTGTTGTTGTATTCGTTTTGCTGCAATGGTTGGTCCTTTGAGCCAAGTGAAGCCACTGGATTGCCCAAAATTTCCGAGCATTCCTTTTGTTGTTGTATCGTTTGTCTTTCGCAGTACACCTTAATACTTCCCTCGTTTCTGTGGCCGGAAACTTGCATTATACGATGGACAGGAATTCCAGCTCTATCCAATAAAGTGACTGAAGTTGCCCTTATACAATGGTTTGTGTACACCTGGCTCAGTTTTGCTGCTGTTGATATTTCTTTCATCATATTTCCTAACGTGTTGACGCCAAGAGGCGCTCGATCAAACCAGATTTTTTCACTAGCAGAAAATGTTCTCTTTGGCCTCTGAAAAAGTGCTTCTTCTCCTGGGTTAAGTACCTCAATCAACCTCTTTAAATATTGAACAGGACAATGGCTGTCACCAGTCGAAAACATTTTAGGATCCGCTTCGTCCGCCTTGTCGCTAAGACCGCCAGGATGATTCTTAGTTTTCTCTTGCTCGGCCATTTCAACATACTCTAAATCATTGGCGTCTGTTTTGAAAACAAAACTGTTCTTTGTCAATTTCCTTTGATTTTCTCGACCTCTTCTACAGAAATATAAGTTTATGTTGAACCAGTTCACTCGCAATAATGATATAGGCGAATCGCTCCCAAAAACACCACTGTCATAACATTTTTGTATGTCTTCGGGTTGAATACTTGAGTGATGTTTCACTTTGGACGACCCATCCTCCTTAATTTTCTTTAGCTTTGCGTTTAAAGACCTATTTGCTGTTTTAAAAAGGATCAGTTATGATTGAAAACGTCTTTCCTACTGTCTCTGAGGATAAATATCGGTTGATTCCTGCTCTCACAGCGACATGAGCTGAACGACTATAGTCTTTCCCGTCGCTTTGTTTCAGTTCTTGATAAAACTTGGTTAGTCGTTCTGCCAGTGTCTCTTTGCTTAAACATTCCAAGTACTCAGTAGGATATCTTACTTGCAGCCATTCTTCAAATAAAAAACGCCATAAATAAGTTTTTCACAAACGTAAATGTGAATTGTCAAAATGTTCAGGGCAAACAAGAAGCAATTATTGTGTTTTACAATTACCTTTAAAGATGGATACACTCCATTTTGTTTGCTTTTTGGTACTACCCGGTATAGAATCATCGATAATTTGCTGAATTTCTTCGTCGTTCACTTCGGAAAATCTTGACGTTGAACCAGCTTCGTTCATGCGGGCTGCCATTTTTGAATAAAATCAATAAACCACGATTTTCGTGGGTTATTGCGAATAAACCACGATTTTCATGGGTTATTGCGAATAAATTAGGATTTCCATGATCTGTCGCTAGGCAACAAGAAACCACGTGATCGATTTTGACCAATCGCGTGCTTAGATTTAGGCCAGTGCACGAAGATTGTATATTAAAATGCCATAACAATACCATACACTGATAATGCCAGCCAACGATTAAATCACATCAACTACGAATCTTAAAACTTGTAAAAATTTCATACATACAAAATGTTTCTATTACAATTTTTACGTTTCATTAAGTAAACAAATGGTACCGCTGTATTGGTATTGAATGTGGAAACAATTAATGTTGTAATCGTTTTAAGCAAAATACAAATATTTAAATTTTCAAATCAGTTTTAATTTTTTTTCGGGTTTTTTTTCTGATTTTACACAAACACATATACGTTAAGGCAAGGACTTTTCTTATCAGGCTAGACGCTGGTGCTTTCATGAGAGCGAAAATAACATATGGTTATTTAATTTACAGTCGCATAACTAGCAATAACTGCAATATAATTACTGCAATATTATTACTTCTAAAAAATCAGCGGTTTGCCTCCCAGACTACGTCATGAAATGCTAGATCTAGTAAGGCAGGAATTATAACATAATATCCGGAGTTTTGATCTGAAAAGCGTGAGAATGTGTAATTAACTTTAAGGTGGCTCCCTAGAGTTTTGTAAAATTCTAGACAGCAGGTTTGTTGCAGGTACCGAATTAAACACCAATATTGTGTATTAGGATATTTTTAAGATGGGTAGAAACATCTTTTTACATTTTTTTTTGTAACGATAACGTTTCCTTAACATTGTCATGTCAATTACTAACCATCTGGCAAAACGTTCAGTGACAGTGGAGGAGTTTGTGAAATAATCGTAATTTAATGATAATTGGTGGCCATATTGAGACGTCATCGTTGCCATGGCAACGGCCTTTAGTTTCTTATTTCGAATATGGTATTCAATACGTTAAAGCTAATTTTAAACTATAGTTTACAATGTTGGTGCTTAATTCTACATCATCAATCGCTCAAAGTTCAGGGTGTAGTTTAAATACATTTAAGTAAAGTATTTCTTGGAAGAGGGAATTTGTAAAGTATGGAACAAAATAACCGGCCGTAAATCCTGGCGACGGGTTCTGGCCTTAAACGTCTTTAATTACTATCTCGAGGTTAGCTCATTTTGCTTGAAATAATTCAAGATGAACAGTAAACTTACACTTTAGGTGAAGTTTCAGACGGTTTAGATAAACGGCTACCACGCAATAAGTATAATATTAATTCTTGGGATTCCACGCCAGCATACGGCACCATTCCTAAAGATTAAAAATATAATTACAATCGATTAGATGTTAGGTATGTGGGTGGTATATTGTTTGCTAAAAGCAACCTCGCTCAGTGGCGGAACTATGGTTAGGGAGAATAAATTAAAAAGCTTAATTTTAAATTCAAAATACCTGGGACCATTTGTTCAAAGCTGGGTTAGCGCTAACCCTGGGTTAAATTTTAATCCAGTGGTTTGGTTTATGTGCTTCTGAACCACTGTTCGTTTAAAACTTTAGAATATATGACTTCTATCGGCCCAGAAAACATTTATGAAAAAAGATATTCAACTTTGTAAACAATCGATTAAAAGAACGTAAAGATTTGCTTTAACCCAGGGTTAAGCTAACTTGCTTTTGAACAACCTGTCCCTGAATAACAACGCAATTGCATGGTCATGCATTTTTAAAGAATTGCATTTATTTCAAAATTAAAATAAAACTCCACCAATCTAACCCTAAAGGCGCTGTTTTTTATTCTTAGGCAATTTTACTTGTAACTTGCAACGAAATTATACGCCAGTTGCAAACAGCTACAACATTTTAATTCTAACGCTCCACTGATTTCTCTCTCTTCAAAATTACAAGGAAGAAAAATTGCATATAGTGTAACAGTGCATTATTGGGCAAGCATCAAAGTACGTTGTGTGTTTGGTATTAGTTTTTACCGGTTTGCACACCAAATAATATTATCAAACTTGGGAACCAACATTTGAAAGTTTGAAACTTGTCAAGTGCTTTGGAATATCGCTATATTCAGATATTTGTATATAATTATGTCCAAATTTAAGATCAAGAAAAACGTAATCGGTTAATGAGGTTATACTTCTACTTTTGATCAAATTTAGGCTTTAGTTGCCTATATTAAAGACTGCAATTTACATGGTTACTGAGCTATTCTGACGAATTCGTATCGTGAATCAAGTAGGGAATGCGTCTACAAACCTCCTGTCTCAATTTCCCACATTAAAACACCAAACGACCATCTAAAAAAATGATTGCACAGTTATACACTGCATGGAAAATCTAGCCAAATATAATCTATTAAGATAGAAGAGTGTGACAAGCACAGTATTTCAGAGAAACCGAAGCAATGAGCTGATTGACATGGCGATTCTAATTCGTGTAAATGCAGGATAAGTGAAAAAAATGTTCTGTATTCAAACGATCTAATATAAACGGAGCAGGTCCCGACAAATGTTAATTCAATGTAACCTTGAAGTCTTTCAGTGATATTCATTGCATTTCATCAAGTTTTGATATGGTTTTTCGAGAAAACGATTCCGCTGTGGAAAATAGTTACTGTATGCCATTACAAGCGTACCGATATAACCAGGGAGCAGCGTGGCAGCGTGTTCAAATAACTTATATAGCATCAAATGTGGTACAACAGTTTTTCATCAGGCACCATTTCACATGCCTCTCCTATACAACCTCATTTATTGCATCTCATGCAACAAATGTGGTTTACTAAACATGGGTGAAACTGGAAAAGGGTAATGTTTGGTGAATGCCGTAGGTCGCTCAACAACCATGCACGATAACACCTGGGCTGTTGCCAGACACTTTATCTGTGGTAATGATTGTGTCACGGCGGACATGAAAATTAGAGCCATCTGTCCTATTTCCGGTACTAAGAATAGTCGTAAACGACAAGAAATGCGACTCATCCACATTCTTGGCACTGTCCATCCCTCTTTTTCATTTAACCTACTTCACCCACAGTAATATGACTTCAATTTCTTTGTTTACATCAAAGCTGGTTGTAATACGTTTTCGTTGCTGATCAGACTTCCCTCATTGCGGGCTATTCTTAGCCCATCGGGCGTCACTTTGGCAACGTAATGTATTCCAATTCGTTTTGATTTTTTGTTTTCTATTGGCCCATTATTATCACGTGTTTTGTCCCCATACAAAATATGTGCTCTCCCTTATTTATTTTCATACTAACTCTTGTGTAAAATTACTAGCAAATGATCATGTTGAGTACGAAGCCCCTCGGGTCGAAACGTCAAACATCGAGAAGTATTTTGTCTATTTTGTTTCAGTTGTTATACCACATTTGATGCTCAGTCATTACAAATGTAATCAAATTTTGACAATTGTACAGATATTTAAATAAAACAATGCTTACGCAACACAGAGAATTTGTGTTCTGTGTTGCAAATCATCCTGTTTTTCTCATATTATGTAATTTTTATACGAATCTTTGTTTACTGGAGCCTCTTTTAAAATTGCATGTACCAAACATAATGCGAGGTTAGTATTAGTAATTGATTTCAATAACGGGCATAACGCCAGGATTTCGCAATCAAAGATGCCTGCCTTGTTATAATAGAATTATAGAAGGCACGAGACAAAATTTGAAATGAAAGCAACCACTATCTTGCATATTTCAATTGGAAACTCAGTACTGTTATGACAATTTTTGAATAATATTTTTGCTTTACCGTTAACAGGTTCCCGAATAATTTAATATCAGCAACGCATTAGTTTCTTGCAATATAATGGTTACCATGTGTAGCGGACTGCTAGCGCTTGCTGAAATGACATTATGATCAGGCCAAAACATGAAAAAAAATTGTCATAATAGTACTAAGTATCCGCCCGCTTGAATCGAACTCCACAACGGCAATATGTAAGGTATTAGCTGCTTTCATTTCAAATTTTGTCTCCTGCCTTATATAATTCTATTATAACAAGGCAGCCATCTTTGATTGCTAAATCCTGGCGTTATGGTAATCAAAGTCAGTGGTGATGGGTGCCCATCTATGCCACAATAGGAAAAAATACTGTGTAAATTACACCTCTATCCCGTTCGCAAAATTAACACGGAATGGCTTATACATTGCCGAATTTTGCGTCTGCACAATGATGATTTGACGAATATATCTTTGAAAGTCTAAAAGTGCATACATACGTATCGCTCTTTGAAGTATACTTTGCGTCTTGCAACGACTCGATTGCCATCCACCTTGCCGGTAGTCTACCCTTTGGGGCGAAAGAGGTGGAATAATCATTAAAAATATTTATAAAAATATTTAAGAGAAGATATTTTTCTATGTCGCGTAATATATGCTCAAAACCTCAGTTATATCTTCATGCAACAGCACTAAAATTTTCAGCATCAAAAATGTTTTGCAAACCTGAAAAGCATCCACAAAGTATGTTTACTGTATAATCTCAAAATATTGTGAAAATGAAAAGATTTCTCGGGATACGCCGAGAAGAAAATGACACTTGAATCGAAGCTTCTTTTGTATTCATTTCAGTTATAATGGCGTTGACATTATAACATTGTTGATAGCCGCCGCATATTTTGTAATAACTCCTTTGTTTGGTGTTTTGCATTCACCAAATACAGTTCAAAACTTAGTTCACAACATAATCTGAAGAATAACGGTAAAATAAATGGATTTTGAGTGGTACGCCGAAACGATTTTAGGTTTTGAGCGTTTTCCCGCCAAAATACGCGATATATAAAAAAATCTCCTCTTATAATCAAAGAGCATTGTCCGAACGAAATTTGTTTCTGCCCATAAAGAAATGGTTGGATCATGTGATGACAATGGGTATGAAGTTATTTATTACTATCTTCTTTAGGATTACTTTCAAGATAAACATGCCAAAGATCTACCTCGTAGCAATCTTGGACGAAATTCTTAAAAATTTATATCTAGTCGGCCACACGAACCGTTGTTACGTCAGTGTAACATAGGTGTAATAATGTTTTGTGACGATAGTCAAAAAAGAGATGACGTCAATAAAAAAGTTTTAACATTAAGGATTTTATTGTTAATACCATGCAAAAAAATGACGAAATTTTGGAAAAATCAATACTGCATGTAGACTATATAACACCAGAATTTAAGAATGGCGTTTGTTCTATTAAAGCAAATTTACCGGAAATGTAAAAAAGATTCAAAACAATGCAGATAGTGTAAAATTAGTTACTGAAAGAAGAGACAGCTTATATAAAACATGTAAAAATGAAGTGACCAACCCAATAGGAAATCCAAACAATATAGCAATTAAAGAGAGTTAATTGGCTGACTATATATTAATATATAATGAGTAAAAAATCTATGACTACTCAAATCAGACAGATTGATACTAATTTTATCGTACCAGAGGAATCCCAACTGATTTTCGCACGTTATTCCTTGCACAAGGTTATCTTGGAAAGTATTTACTGTATGCATATGTGGAAATTTCCATTACGAAACGAACATTTTGTTTACATTAATATTCCTGCTGCCTAATTGGCGGTATTTAAGTACAACATGATGAATTATGGGCAGACAGACCTCTACAAATGCAAAAAGCCGTAAATTGTTCGTAAATCTACACAAAAATATACCGCCTGAATTATTTTTACCGTAAAATCAATTTCAGAGGCATCTGATTGCCTAGGATATATCAAGCAAAACATTCAAGGCCGAGAACATTATAAATAACGTAAATAACGTTAATTTGGAAAATTGCACCTGGTTTTATAACTGTGTTAACGTTTTTCGACTATCAATTACCCACCCTTTCAACCAAATGGTGCTAGGGAAGACTGCTACGGGTAACTCTAGCCGCTGTCATAAGAAAATACTATCCACCTTACCGATGTCGTTTTCTGATACAACCCAGTTTCGTATATATCACGCGACAAACCAAAGTCAGACACCTTGGCAACTTTATGCTTTCCCAAGAGAACGTTTCTTGCCGCCAAATCGCGATGGACAATCTATTAAATTTTGATTAATGTGTTAACGGCGTTTTGTAAACAGGAACTGGATTGAAAATATAATGGCAACAAACGGAAAATCTGTTTCATGACTCAAAATTAATTGCACACGTGATAATGTTGAGAACAGTCCCTTTTCAAACTTTTTTGTATCATGTTGATTCGTGCAACTGTTGTTAGAAAGAAGCAGTGCGTAGATGTGTTTCAGTTTAATTCTTATACAAAAACCCTGCTTAAAGACTGAGAGGTGACCATTTCTATTAGGGCACGAACATTAGAAGAATGAAAAAATCTAGAATGAGCAAATTCTCACGCTATGACGTGTTTTTAAGCGTAATTGTACGTGTTAATTCGCGTTTCCAGTTCATTCCTGACAGCTTTATAACAAAATTGGTGTTCCCGTGCTTCTTGTCCACAACAAAACCCGCATGCAAAATAATCCACATGTAAAATGCACTATAAACAAATGTATACAATGTGCAAAAAAATTATAAAAGATACAAATTTATACAATTTGCAAAACATTCTTTTACAAATGTTATTTTCACTGACCTTCTTGGTCTCGAGATAGGCCATTCCTTTCGAGACATCGTATGCAAATCTCAATCTTGTCAACTGGTCTAATGAAGTCAGAAACGTTCCATTCTCAGCTACGTCTTGTCGATGACTTTTAAGAAAGTCCAACAAACTTCCGTGCTCACAATATTCCACAATCAATAATAATCGCCCTAAAATGTTTGCATTAAAATATCGTTTAAATCCATGAATCCGTAATATCAAAAAAGTCCGATAGATAGAATCTTCTGCATTGCAATTGCTGATAAAAGATGCAGCTATATACCCATATCGAACAACTATGGTAAACTGAAATGCGTTCGTATTTTTATGCATTGCTTTGAGTTGTGCACATGGGTAAATATTTTATATCTGCCTGGAAAAGTCGCGCTTGTTCGCTATATGCGTGTGTTCGTTACATGGTCAAGTAAAATCAAAGGAAGCGCGTCATTGTGAATTGACATCAAGAGCTTTGAAAATTTCATGGTATTTCACATATTACTGCCGTATATCTCAACTCATCGTTTCTCCTAAGGGATAAAATTGGCACCCGTGCCGATCGATGTTGTCCGTGTCCGGTCTTTGTATTGACAGCATGAGGAGTAATAAAATTGCCGGGTGCTGGTACCAATTTTAGCCGTGCCGTAGCTGTAGTGTAAAGGGGCTTTACTTGCAGTACAGGGTGTATAAAAAAAACAACGGAACCACTTAGATATGCCAGAATATTAATATTGTTCGGGTTTGCACCATAGTTCAGCTAAAATGACTTTTAGCATCTTAAATGAAGGATTAAGAGCCATTTTCAATTCCCAGAGTTAGAGGTGCTTATCTACAGAATTGATGTTCTTGCATATTTAAGTGGTTGGGGTTTTTTTGAGACACCCTGTATAACTAGGATCTACTGGCTTTCTCGCTCACTGCAGCAGCATACCTTCACGAAAGCAAAAATAGGGCACGCGTGGAATTGTATCACACAGCGCGGAACCTGACGGAAAAATCAAATGGTACCATCATGCAATGCGCCAAAGATTGCCATAGCCGCGGCAGCAATAATTTTTCACCACCGGTGTGCGAACACCAATCGAAAAGCCTTGCGTATCAGGGATACTCTCCTTCGCAGAGGTTTTTGTGTAACCAAGCATTAAAACGAATAGCGGGCAGGCGGGCGGGAGATTAGCAGGCGGGCGAGAGATGGGCAGGCGGGCGGGAGATGAGCAGGCGGGCGGGAGATGGGCAGGCGCCCGTTAGATTACTTCTCAACCCACGTCTGCCCGACCACCGCCCGTCCACCAGCTACTAATATTAATACTTCTTACACAAAAATTGAGTTCTGGCCGACGGACACCCCACCAACTATCGTTGTAGTTTCGGTCGTGATTTTTACCAACCTCCTCTTGAACAAGCTCCAACTAAATTAACAATATTCGGATGATCGCCAACATTGGCCATTAATCTTAATTCCTTGAAAAGTTCTTTGCGATCAGAATCAGTAGCAATGTCTGTAAATTTACAAGAAAAGTTTTCAGCCAATTTTAACCCTCAATTATTACTAACCATGAGGCACTACCTTTTCCCTCATGCTTATTATCAGTCTATGTTTGTAAATTTGTTATTGTTATTTTCTCTTTTAAACATGCAGAGCCTCCAAGAGGCGGGGGGGGGGGGCTGGCAAAAAGGGGTAATTTTTCCCGAAGCCCAGGGATGCAAGGAGCCCAAAAATGCTACAGGAAAAAAATCAAACCATTGTTGGAAGTATATAGCCCTCTTTCGAAAACAGATTTGTAGTTTTGGATTATTTATAGTTCAGATATTGTAACATATACATTCGGTATCGTACGAAATCTCATCCCCAAAATCTCATTTGTTGTACTCTAGATTTCAAGATTTGATTAAGGAATATTCCCCCAAATCCCCGAATAGTGCTCTGTCTCCCTACGATTTTTCTTGCTTGTGCGTTTTTGCTGTGGAACTTACACCGTAACCAGAATTATTTCCGGCGGCCCTGTCGCTGCTTCTAAATCGTGTTGTGAATAATGAATTTCTTCATACTTTCGGTAAAAAAATTACATTTACTTATACCTTTGACACTCTTAACAGCAACTGTCATGTCACTAGACTTTTCGCTTGTCAGCACCGCTTTCATGACCAGGCCAAACTCCCCCTGACCCAAAATATCTCCCATTAGTAAAGCATCACGTGATACTTCCTTCCATGAGAAATATTCTTGCTTTTCCCCAATTCCAAATTGCCCGCTCGGACAAAATAACTTTTCATTTTCGATGTAAATCTCTTGAGGCGAAACGCCCGGAATCGATCGCTCGTACGGCTAGGTAGAATAAGTAATAAATGAAAACACGATGAAACGCTCGCCGTTCGCTCGCTTAGGAATTACGTTTTTAGCCTAAACAAGCTTCGCGGAACGTAGTGAAGTTAATTTCTTCACAACTCTTAAAAGAGTATGAATGCATTCCATTTATCTGACTGTTTAGGTAACAACTACTTTGAACCTGGTTATCTCAGACCCATGTCTTCTTTATCAATTCTATAATTTATATTTTGCAAGTACAGCGATAAAACTTGATGCTTTTACCACGTTTTCAGTTATTTTGACCAATAAAAATTTGGCGCAATAAATGTATTTAGTTGGTACTTAGTGTAATTAATTATCTCTAGTTTTACAACAAGAAAGTAATCGATTACCTAAAAACAACTGTATTTTTAGTCTTAAAACAAGGATGGAAACTTAGAAGTATATTCTTACAGGTTGCAGTTTGCGGTACACGCGGTTGTTTTATAGCTCTATGTTGGCTATAGAACTGTAGTAACCTGTGGCAAAAATTGGCATGTTTTGATACTATTTTTCTGGGAACATTATGCTACTTTGGTATAGGCGATAAAACTTACGTTTGAAAGTGAAAGATTAGCTCCATCCCCTTGAGAAAAAGATCGTCTCCGTCGAAAGTAGTAAAAAGATCCAAGTAGAACTACCAAAGCGGCCACGATTATTAGAATAACGATGGCTACAATTATCACACTATCCGAACCCTTATTATTTTCTACAACAAGAAATTAATAGAAGTGAAAAGGTAGTATTTTTAAGAATTAATAATGCTACTAATTGAAGCTGTTTTAAGGTATTGTTTAGCGGTTGAGGGGTTAATGCAAGAAATTTAGATTTCGCGCTTTTTTAAAGACCAAATTTACTAGCCAGATTGATAGAATTCTTTATAGGGCGAATTGGTTTCATTCTCTTTAGGTTCCACTCATTCCATATTTTAAAATTCACCATATTTTTGTTAAAGATGAATACAGGTGGATCCATTGTTGGATTAGCAGCTTCACAAATATACTCTCTGAAGAAGTCATTACATTCAATAGGGCCAGAGGGACAAAATATTACATACAAAATATTACATACCTTTCATTGTTTTCACTTCAATAACGTTAGATTTTTTCTGACTAACACCGTATTTATTTTCACTGTACATTGATACATTATAAAATGTATCTGATTCCAAACCACCAATAGTGGCTCTCGTTTTTGTACCGCGAACTTTACTGGTGTTTTGCCACGTATGGCTTGACGCCTGCCAAATTTGAATATGATAATAGTCGATCTCAAAGTACTTAGGATGTTCCCAACCAATAGTGACGCTATCTTGTTCCGTGTCTATGTCAGTAAGGCGTGTAGGCGGTGCTGGTGGTCCTAATAAAAAAGTATAACTTTTAACGAAGATTTATCCACGTCATTTGAAAATCATGTTCCTGATTACTATTACGATCACTGTCATGAGGGCAAAATATCAATAAAGCTAGATGACAAACCCAATTAAAACTACTTGAAGCCACTTAACTAACTTAGCGTAGAAAGATCCAAGAGAATTTAGTTTTCAAGACTGAAATCTGATCCATTTTTTTGTACTTTCCAACTACTTTACGCGGCTATGGGCCTCAATGGAACGTTAATTGAGAGGGACCATATTTATATATTCTGTTATGCCATGCTGATTTATTGGTAGTGAAATTGTTTTCAAAAGAAATTAGCTAGGCATAGCAGAATATATGGATATGGTCCCCTTGATAAACGCCAATGTACGAGGCGCTATACATAACTGAAGCGCAAGCTGAACTTTTGTGTGTATTCCGACAGTTTGAATTCAAGCGACACTAACCATAGACTATAAGTTTCTTGGGGCCAAGTTTTCCATTTACCAAAGCCCTGTGAACATCATCGGCTAGTTTTGTAATGTCCCTTGGCCTACCATAAGTATTATCCAGAACCCTCTCTTTCCACGTTAGATCAAATTTCACCTTACCAGTTCTGAAAGCATTCACAATTTAAGGGCAGAAATTGGTCCACAGACCTCTAATTTAATGAAGTGATTTACATGAATAATTATGACAATAGCAGATCAATATTAACTCACGACGGATCAATAGAAGTGATGTTAAATGAATGATAGAGTTTTCCCTGATTAAATACACTTTCGACCTAGAAAAACAGGAGCAAAACATACCAGTTAAGAGTGTGCATGAAAATATGGGATGATTCGATTGGATTGAAAGCTAGCTTAAAAGTGCGAGCAAACTAGAAAGCCTTGTTGTCAGTGGCGTAGCCAGCCTGACAATTTGTCCCGCTATGTAATTTTCGAGCTATTATAATTATTCATGCCTTTAGAAATCTATTGTTTTCACAGTCAGTGAACACTAAAATATTAGCATAGCGGGACAAATCGACAGGCTGGCTACGCTACTGCTTGTTGTCATCCTGTTTATGTTTTTCCATAGATTGCAAAGCATTGGGTAGGAAACCTGTGGTTACGTAGTGTCTATCCCGCCTTTTAATTGGCTAAAATATCTTTAATTTAGGCTGTTCGAAAATTTGCAACAACCGTGTTAAAAAATGTCCATGTTATGACGTCACAAAATAACGTAAGTATAATGATATTCTTATTGACGTCACAATAAAATTACCGTTTTAAATTTAGAACGACCTTAACTGAGATGAATTTCAAGTTTTGCTCTCACAAGCTATGTGGAAAATGCAAAACATCCTTCTTCAACACAAGCATGAAAAAGAATTTTTAATTTTGAGAATAAATCTGGAAATAAATCATAACACTAAAACGAGGTTACCAGGCCACCCCCGGCAGCCTTGTTGTTGTGTTATGGCTTATTTTCACACTTGTTTGTCAAAATGAAAAATTATTTTTCATGCAGATGTTGAAGAAGGATGTTTTGCATCTTTCGACATAGCTTGTGAGAGCAAAACTTGAAGATAGATATTTCAGTTAAGGTGGTTCTAAATTTAAAACTGTAATGTTGTGAAGTAATTATCGAAGAGGTCCATTTTACAACTACGCAACCTCGTTTCCAAAGGGCCTGGGATCGGCCAGCCGCTTCTGACTTCTGATTGGTTTTATCATTTTTTCTAATTTATGTGTAATTAGCGGAATATTTTGTAATTATTCCGAAATAGTACAATTCCAATATGGTTTAATGTGGGTACTTTGAACGGCCAAAACCAGGGCCTTTCCTCTTCTCTTGTCTTGCCCCAGCCTCAACTCCCTATATAAAGTCCCAAACGGCCCTGGGACCAGAACTTAGTATCAATTTACCATTAGAATTTGTACTCGTAACGATTGAAGTGCTAGTTATATAAGTAGAATCTTAATTCTATCAAGTACAGTTAATTTTTTAAGTAATAACGCGTCAATTTCATTTTATTTATTTCGTATTCTTCCTACGAATGTAGTTTATTTTCACAATTATAAGCTTACTTAAGTCGCTTTGCAAAGACAGTATCAAACCATCACTTAGGGAAATTGCTTTTTTGGCTTGAAATAGTGTGGGGTCGCTGCACGCATTGTATTTCAAGTAGAATGGTAATTATTAACGCACCTTATCACGCACTCTTTTGCCCAAATTAACGAGCTGTTCTGGCGGCAATATTGTTTCGAATGAATAGGTCTCCACTGAAATAAAAAAAAGTTTGGTTAAATTGGAGAGTAACGACTGCAGCAGAGAAACTGCAATCAACAGCAGAGAAAAGTGAAATTTTATCAATAATCTTTATGGCAACCACTTGAGACTACTAAAAGACGGCATTTACATGCACTTCTAGAGACTTTCTTTAATCTGTAACACACATTAAGCCAGAAGATATAGAGCAGTGGGGCCAGTTGCATCAAAGCCGGATGGTGGTAAACACAGCGGATAGCGGTTCCTTACAGTACTGTCCAGAAATAACCTAGGTTACGGTTAGGTTGCGGTTCGGTTGCGGTAGACCGATAAAAACTGCAGACGACCGCAAGGAAAAAATACCTTCGCAGTGGCCGTTCGCTTCCGAACGAAATATTAGGGAGCTTTAGCAGTGACTATACGAGTACGACTACGAGTACGAGATTCGTCATTCTCGCGCGTTGTTTACTTACGCCATCAGCCAAAACTCGTAGTCGTTGGGCTTTCGAGTACGAAATTTATCAAAAAACTCGTACTCAAAAGCTCGACGACACGAGTTTTGACTGATGGCGTAAGCAAACAACGCAAAAGAATGACGAATCTCGTACTCCTAGTCGTACTCGTAGTCACTGCTAAAGCTTCCTATTATGAACAGCTGAGAACGACAACACAATAACCAAATCGAAAAACTTAAAAGACATTCCTTAAAAACTTGGAATGTCTGTCAGACCAAGTTAGACCAATGCTTAACCTGCGTCTCACCGCGGTTCGACATCGGTCTAACCCAAGTTCAACCGCGATCAGACCGAGGTTTGATCTAGGTTAACCGCGGTTTTTGTTAGGTTATTTCTGGACAGTACTGTAAATCTTAGTATTCCCAACTTGGGGATTGAGGATCTTCTTTAATAATTGCTGGTTGCAAAGCTGAAAAATTATTACTTTTCAAGCAGTTTTAGAACGGTGGATATGGTCATAGTGCCATAAGAAAATTATTCGCTTATTAAAATGCATTCAGGGCATCTAAAAAAGCTTACAACACAAGCTAAGACTTTGAAACAGTTGTTTGACGATTTAATTAGTCTTAAGTTAATGTATTTTTAAATGTGAAGATTGGACCAAAATCTCGCAAAAAGTATCGGATACTAGGTTTATGATAGCATCTGACATGAAAATAATTCGAGAAATGTGAAAACTGTTTCAAGGTCTCAGATGTTATTTTTGAGAGCTTTCTGATGATGGGAATAACCATCAGAATAACCATCATCATAATACGACTGCTATTGGCGTACGAATTGGTTACCTAGCTTTTCTAACCCGTCTGGGCTCAAGGTCTAATATTAATTATACTATAGTGATTCATGTTACTTTTAAAAACAGCGAGGAATTGAAATGTGCGTTAAAAACGTCAAAAATAATATGAGAAAAATAGGTTTTATGAGAAAAATAGGTTTTATGAGAAAAATAGGTTTTATGAGAAAAATAGGTTTTATGAGAAAATTAGTAAAATGAGAAAAATGAGTAAAATTTTTTCAGGTTCAGTTCTTTTAAACAGGCGAGCACACACTTACACGATTTTGACCTTCGTATCTTTCAAGTTCAAAACTTTCAGTGTAAAGTTGCATTTCATGAAAAAACAGGATTTATTTTATAACACAACATTGGTCAATAAAGGTGTTTATATATGATTTAATAAGTTGATAACAACTCACATTTTTCAATTTCAATAGAATAGCTTTGGCTACGATTTCCGATTGTATTTCTTGCAATACAAGTGTAATAATCCCGACCAGATGGAGCCTTCTTGAACGATCCATGAATACTTAAACTTCCATTGCTTAGAACACGGTATGTCCCCGAGAATCCCACGTTATCATCATGGTGCTTTAATGACTGAGACTTAATAGTACCGTTCATTTTGGTCAGGACATTTTTACCAATTTTCCACCATGTACTGGGTTTTGGGTATCCTTCAGCCGAACAATCAACGTTCAGTAGAACTACGGTGTTTTCAATTACCGATATCAGTGTATTATTTGATAATAATCTTGGTTCTGTTGTAAGAAATGACAAAAACATCTGTTCAAAAACAGTTATATAAAACTCCTGTAAGCAGCGTAGTCAGCCTGGGGCTTTAGTTTCGCTATATTAATAATTTCACGTTAAGTAATTCACAGTTAGCTGTAAAGAAAGCTCGTTTCTATAAAGAAATTAATATAATCATTCACGAGCCGGCACATTCGAAGCACCGTGCATGAGAGTACTAATTCCGCACGGGAATCTTACCAACATAGCTGGCAGTTACGAGTATACAAATGGTTTCACTGCTTGGATAAGCACTGAGATATTCATCCTATACATTCATAAACTGAACTGTATTTCACATTATAACCTTTATTTTTTGCTTATTGGAGCAAATAACCTTTGTTATAACCCTTGTTATTTGCTGCAAAAACCTTTGAAATACATGATTCAATTAACAACTGTATTGAACTCCACATAGGATTTACATGGCTGGGAAATCAAATAATAGGTTAAGTTTGGAAGTAAATAGTTGCGTAGCCAGCCTGATGATTTAGTCTTTCTTGGCAAATTTAAAATTTATATCTATCATTATTAATTTCTTTAGGTATTAATGGTCATCTTATTAACACTATAGATATTAGCAGAGCAGGATTAAATTGTCAGGCGAGTTATGCCACTAGAAAAGCATCCATGCTGAGATGACCATGAAAAATTTTAGTGAAGTAATATTTTGTATAAAATCTGCATAAATCATAACGATATACCTTTAGTAAGATAAACATGGAAAGTCGCATTTGTAATATTATCTGTGCATGTCACATTGAACTGACCAAACTTTCCTCCATGAACTGGATTCCTGATCATTAATGTTGAATTTGGTCCAAGTTGAAAATTCATAACACCATCTGTTAATGGCATTCCATTTATTTTCCAAAGAACACGCCCTTCCTGCTGTGTGCAGTTTAATGTTGAAGCTTTGCCTTCAGCAATTGTTAATATCGTCACACTCTCTGTGAAGTTTGAGGCTAAAATACAGGCAAATCATTCTGTGAATAATAATAGTAATTGCATTCCGTGAGGCGCGTGTGACTTGGAATTACAAGTTTGATCTCATGCAAAATTCCACTGAAGTGTAATTTCGCCTATTTATTATATTGATTTTAAAATTTTACATAACTTTACAATATTGAAAGTGATAGTCATTACACAAAGATTTAAGAATTGAATTCCAAATTTGTTTCTTTATGTCAGTGAAGCAAAAACACCGGAGACTCCTAAATTCTGCAAGAAACCTGTTCGATTATAGAAACGTTAAAAAATCTAGACACAGTGAATATTTTGATTTAGTAAACACTGCGGAAAAATCTGCGCATACATGGGTATAACTGCCTGTATTTAGCATTAAAAAGCAGTTGCAAAGGTTTCAGAGTTAATCTAGGACCTGTAAAGGTATTTGTATGCATTTCATTTAAGACAGATTATCTCAATTGTTTCAGGGTAAAGTGACCATGGTGGTCAACATGGAATATGTGCCAAAATCTGAACCCAGGACAAGCCCTGAAAATTACCACACCCAGAAATGGCATAGTCAACATAGCTCTAAATCCTGAATTATCAAAGCTACAGCCTTTCTGAATTGTTTATATGGTTCAGAATGGTAGCTTTTAAGGGTGGTCACTGGAGGGTGAAATTATTCTAAGTTTCATATTTTACAAGAATATGATGTTTATCATTCCAAGTCAACTGCTAATTAGGCATAAAATTACACAGATTCACCTGGCAGGGTCTAATTTTTCCTATTTTCTAAAAATGTTTGCCATATGATGAAAAAATGTTTATTTTAATATATTTATTATAAATTTCCTAGGAAATAACAACGTTTTGTTCCGATACGACATAATTATTTCATTTCACTTACCCCCCGCCAGAACACGATTTCAGTTGACTAAAGATTATGTAACCAATTCTCGATGGGTTTTGAACAGTGAACTCTAATAAGACTGGAACGATAACTCAGCAATAAAGACTAGTCATTGGATGAAGCCGATTTGAATATAATTTGCTGATTAAGGCGGCAGCCGCGCGAGCAATACAAGCCTTCAAAAAAACTGGGAGGAGTAAGAATTCCGTAAAAATCGTATTTTTTGCCAGAAAAGTGCAATTTTTATTTGACCACTTCAACTTTAAACAACGAATTTCCCCTTTTTGGATAGACCTAGGTAATCGGCATCATCTTACTGTAAAAACCGGCGAGGTACCAGCTTTGTACTTGAAATATTTAAAGAATTTGAACGGGCCGAAAAAAAACTTCGCCTTCAACTCGCAAAAAAAATAGGTTTGCACCTCTTCACGTTCATAAAACTTGTTTTTTAGTAAAATCTAAGTGTCAATGCTTGTTTTAAGCTTTTATTCATGATCAGATGAGATGGATTTGTGTATAAAAACCGGCGTTGTTTTGGTGGTGTAATTTCAACTCTTGGCCTTCATGGCCGCCATCAGTGCTGGCTTCGAAAATGGCGGCCAAGTTATCGATCTAGTCTTTGTAGAGTTCACTGGTTTTGAAATAGTGCCATGTAATAATTTTCATTTTTGTGTCCCTTGACATTTCATCAATTATGTCGCCATTGCCATGTCTCGTCGCCTTTCTGGCAGTTTCTGCACGATAAATGCCACTTTTCGATCCCTAGCTGTATTTTTTTCACAGCATCATAAGTAATTGATAGTACAATAGCAGCTATCCAAATTTAAAAGCATTTATCCAACTTGGAAGTAAAAAAACCTGACTTCGTTTATCGGGAATGAAATTCAAGTGCGAAAGTTCAGTGCGAAGTCTCGCGCAAACTCCGCGACGAGTTCTCGTGGACAGCATTACGGATTACAGGGGGACAAAAATTTCAAGAATACATTTGTTCACAACCACAATCAGTCAACAGCCCGAGTAAAATTTGTCCGTTTTGCTGTTAATATTTCTCCTGCTGTTAATATTTCACATTAACGAGTCTCCACGTTTAAATTGTCTGTTCTTGCTTTCACAAAGCTTAAAAAATAAACCAGAAATGTTTCGTGAAAATATCCCCCCCCCTGCAATGTTGCCCAAGAGCATTTGTCCTGGAGCACAGAATACCTAACAGAAGTGGAACTCTATACTATTTTTTCGTAAGTGTGATTCGTCATGATTCGTCACTTAGCAAGTGCATTTTTTTGAGGTAGTCACCCCCCTGCCAATGTCTAAAATTAACCCATATTTACTATTGGCAGGGGGGTGACAGCCTCAAAAAAATGCACTTGCTAAGTGACGAATCATGACGAATCACACTTACGAAAAAAGTACAGGAGTTCCACTTTTGTTAGGTATTCTGTGCCTGGAGTGTGCGCTAGACTGTTAAATTATTTTGAATCTTTCGCACTTTTTCACTCCCGATGAACAAAGGGAGGTTTTTTACTTCCAGGTGGGACAAATGCTTTTAAATTTTGGATAGCTGCTATTGTACTATTAATTACTTATTGATGCTGTGAAAGATAGACAGTTAGGAATCAAAAAGTGGCATTTATCGTGCATAAAAGTGGCGAAACATTACCATGGTGACATAATTGATGAAATGTCAAGGACACAAAAATGAAAAAAATATTACATAGCACTACTTCAAACCCATCGAAAATTGGTTGAATAATTCTTTAGTGAAATAGAATCGTGTTAAAGTACAATAATTGAAAGACGCTTGCGACGGACGGCGAAAAACGGGGATGAAATTTGCAAAATATGGCTGAAATCGTGTTTTGGCGGGGGGTAAGTGAAATGAAATATGTCGTATCCCGACAAAACATTGTTATTTCCTAAGAAATTTAAAATAAATATACTAAAATAATCTATTTTAGACAGTGGTTGTACCACATTTGATGCTAAGTTTTTAAAGACGCTGCCTCGCTGCTCTGTGGTTATATTTAAATATACTAAAATAAGCATGTTTTTTCATCATATGGCAAAAATTTTTAGAAAATAGGAAAAATTAGACTTTGCAAGGTGAATGGAATAGTAAACATTTATTTTCTTGTAAAATATGGGACTTAGGCTAATTTCACCCTCCAGTGACCACCCCTAAAAGCAACCATTCTGAACCATATAAACAATTCGGAAAGACTTTAGCTTTGATAATTCAGGATTTAGAGGTCATTTTCAGGACTTTCATCCCAGGTTCAGATTTTGGCACATATGTTGACTGCCATGGTCATTTTACCCTAAAACAGTTGAGATAATCTGTCCTAAATAAAATGCATACAAACTTCTGTACAGGTTCTATACTAAGTTGCAAAGGATGACTTCATTGCGCATGTATTCAGTGAACATTGCATTCTAGATACCTCATGACTAGGAGCATTCTAGGAGCATAAAAGCGAACAGAAAGTTAAAGTACAGTACTGTCCAGAAATAACCTAACACTGCGGTTGCGATTCGGTTGCGGTTCAGCTGCGGTTATAGGTTGTGGTTCGGTCGCAGTTCGGTTGTGGTCGACAGATAGAAACCGCAGACGTCCGGAAGGGAAAAAATACGATCGCGGTTGCCGCTCGCTTCCCAACGTAATGTTATGAACAGCTGAGAACGACAACAGAATAATCATATCGAAAACATCTTAACAAATGTCTGTCAGAATGAGTTAGGCCGAGGTTAAAACTCCGTGTCACCGCGGTTCGACCTCGGTCTGACCTGGGTACAACCGCGATCAGACCGAGGTTTGACCTATAGATTCACCGCGGTTTTTTAGGTTATTTCTGGACAGTACTGTAGTTGCGTGCCACAAGAATTTGAGGCTAAAGGAGACTTTGACGAATTTATTGTGTAAAACAGTTTGTTTTTTAAAAAAAGGAACGACAGTTTCCGAGCTTTCAAGTGAGTTTGTCACCGGATATGAGAAATCTTTATGTTCTCAATATTTTTGAGTTCTTGTTTTTTTATTTGAAACCCAAGCTGCTAAAAAGTAGAAAATCGAAACGAATTCCTGGCCGTTGCCGTTGGGTACTGTAAATGCTAGAACGCTCTAACGATTGTTTGTTCTATCCGTTTTGTATATTTTGGAATTTCCTGAACTAACATTCAGTCATCAAATATTTGAAATAAATTATTTCTTCCATATTTTTCGTAATTTGACGCGTACGTTTTTTGCTGTTGATATAATATTTGATTCAATATATAGTGTTGGCAAAACCGTTTTTAGGAGCAACATGTTGTTTTTAAAAACACATTTCCATAAATGAAAAAGCAGCTTCAATTTTTTGTTAGCACTAGAGAACATTAAATATGAAAAGTTGTGACTTCCTAGGCATGTTGAATGGTTAAACATAAAGTAATTACTAAAAAAATACGTCCAAAACTTGGAGCAGAAAAAGAAGTTACAGAATTTATCTATTTTATAGAGATACTAATATTTTGCAAATGATTTAGTTATATAATTAATGCTCTAACACGTGTCTTTATGCTGCTCTTCTGTATGGGTTATAGATTAAAAAGTTTTAAAGGTTATTTCTATCTAAAGGGTACAGGTAAACTACTATCAAATAAGTATAGTAACGTTATTATTACAAATTTTTTACAAGTGGCGGATCTAGGTGTATATAGTAAAAATAAATCACATAGCTAAATTTTAAATTCAAAACACGGTATAAACACCTTAACAACAACGGTTAGGGATTTCAAAAGAGTATTTTAAAATACAAATCTACCAATGCGATTACGATATTAAGCTGTAGTATTTTTTTTATTACTACCACAACTACCACAGCACAGTACCACTAGAGCCGTGGCTGTTTTCTACTTACAGTGGGAATACCCGACGAGTGAGAATAGGATCAAAACTTTCACTATAAAGACCGCAAGAAGTACTGCATCCATTTGGTATTAACTAAAACCTATTTGAAAAATTAAAAAAATAAAAATTACTGTGAAGGCATAAATATTTTGCATCAAAAAACAACATTTTTGTTTTGTATAAAACACCCAGTACAGTAACAACAAAGATCCATTGACATGTCAAACAAAGCTAGATGTTCTTAATATATCACAATGAACTGCGCACATATAGAGCAATTCGCATGTTATATCACTTATATGCGATGTTAAGGCCATGAGTTTCTGTTTCAAGATATATTATCAATCTGTTTTTTTTATATAATCGTATCGGGATTCGGGATTATATGTGAACATAACCGCTGGAATTCCGCCATTAAGGGTACCTTCGGCTGCTTCTGTTCATGTTCTATGCTTATAGTTACTATCAAATTTGAAAGCGGGATGATACCAATATTTAGGAAATGGGCTTTTGCAACTTCCATATAACTCGTCTACGCCGACAATCTCACACAAATAAACAGGGCGTTTGTTTTAACAGAATACAATAAGTTTGTTACTTGAACGAGGATGTTCAGCCGTAAACAAGCGGTTTATGTGCGAACATGCAACGAACAGCGTATATCCAACGCATTGTTAGTTCGCTAAGCTTTAAGTTCCTTTGTTATAATTGCTCGAAAATTGATAAATTGTTAATTTCCTCATTTTAAAACATCTCTGTTGCTGTAGCAAAGTTGCCAAAGCCCGGCACAGGCACAAGTTTTAAATTGGTTTTGGCTATATAGATGTATTAATTGCCCGACAGACATATTCAATTTTGATCCTCTATTCTTAGACCCCTAATTTTCTAACAATTTCAAGAAACTATTTAGAGTCGCCTTAAATGTCGTGATTTCATACTAAGCGTGGCCTGTATATGAATTATATTTTGACTGAATGAACTCGGCATGTGTAACGGTTTTTTGTTTAAATTGATGAATGATGTTTGTTTAGGTTTGAACACGCACATGCATTGTTATCTAGTAAGTCTCAGAAAAGTTGATTTAACAGATCATATTTCTACGGTATTATAATGTACAAAATACTACAAATACACAGCAACGCCAACGGCTAATAAATGTAAGCATTGGGCGGTATATATATAGTATCGTGACTATCGTCGTTAAACTGAATACATCACACAGCTCAAAATTAAAACGATTCTTTGTCTATAGTGGGAGGGCTTAAGTCTTTGTATGCATACGTTCATAGTGTGCAAGTACAAATTTACGAATTGGCATAATTAGGCAATATATGTAAACAGTCAGACGCCAAGCTTGGAACACTAGACGTTTATTTCAAGGAATGCGATAAATTTCGACGGCGAGAGTTCATTAAAATACATTGTAAGCCAAGATTATGATTACGAGACTGAATTAAATCGATAATGGTATAAAGTATATTATATTAAGCCTGAACTTATCCTATATTTACGGTATTAAACAGAAGTGAAACTCTGTGCATTTCATACAACCCTGTCGATTTTGACGATACACTTATTTAATATATTGCATCAAGAGTGTGACATTCAATTAGGCGCCTTACCTGTACGAGCCAATATATGAAGTTAAGCACGAATTTCCTCCAACAAGAGTAAATGTATAAGCAACAAACACACTGATTTGTTGTAATATTGTCGTCGATCAAATAAATGCGGAAGACGAATAGCAAGTAACATGACACCCTCGTATTAACGATAAGGAAAGAGAAAATCAACAATATCATGCAACATTAATTTTCTTTCATATGATAATTATTCGATGCATAATCGAAAGCGTGTAAAGAAACGGGGGGTAAAAGTGGGGAAAACGCAAACTTTCAATCCTTGCGTTGTTACAATTGCAATTAAGATTATTTGTAAGAATTTCCTAAATGCACTTATTGGAGTTCACTGGCGGATTTAAAGTTACTAGAATTTATTCAGTCCAGCTTTTGATATCAGTGTTTTACTACATTATTTCACAGACTTCTGACAGCAAAGAAAATTCATGTCCTTATGAGGACATTAATGTGTTTGGGAAATACAACGGCAACGGCAACCGCAACGTCCTTATCACCAATGGCATTGATCCTTTAAGACAAAAGAAAATGTAAATTACGCGTGGCCTTTAATTGTCAACACTGCCGTAGTTGCTGAAACGGCATCGCGACTCAATACACCCATTTCACGGTGCATGACAACGCGGCAACAGTTAATGCGTTCGATGTTGTTTGCAGTCTTAGAAGCAATTTTACTGATCGACTATGTTAATTTTATATCAGTTAATATAACTGTTTCAGAGAAAGAGGAAACTTGATTACTCGAAGAGGCAAATGAAGTCCATACTAACTCGTATTTTCTTTGAATACCACAATATTAATTATAGGTGAATATATTTTGCCGTTGCGAACTTGCGGTTGCCGTTGCCGTTGTATTTCCCAAACTCACGAATGTGTGGGTGAAAGAAAACTCTCCAATTGGCACAGTTCCAGTCAACGATTCTGAAGAAATAAAATTAAATGAAGAAACGTTGAAAAAAATATTGAATCGTGAGAATTCGAAAGAATTAGCCTTTCTCACGATGACGAATGTGCCGCCATTTTTTAGTTACATTTTTTAAATTGTGAGCTCAAGACTTGTCAGGCGGCTGTCTTTAATTTTAGGCTTAATTTATTGTTCAAATAGTCTATTGACCCTTAAACATTTCTACTATTGTTTAAACGCATTGAAATTGAAAGTACCCCCAAAATGGCGGATATTCGTCATCGTGAGAAAGGCTAATTTGATTGCCAGATCTCAGATGGTTTTGTACAGACACCATGCACGTGGGGACTGAATCTAAGTCTACCCTGTATACCCCTTCTTTGATGCAAATGTATGCAGATCAACATGATCCAGCAGTTTTTGTTTTTTAACATAATCTTTCAGCTCATAGAGACCAATCAAAAAGGACCTATATCGTAGAAACGAAAAATGAAAAGCGGCAGACACTGTGGCATTTCTACACATTCTTCCCTACTTCAGGCAAGCCCTGGGTATTTCCTGATATACTTATATTAGTTAACTAGTCTTTTCTTAACCGTATTGAACCGTATTGAAAAAAAATCATAATTTATTATAGATCTCAAAAAATAAGCACATAATAAAAAGATGCAGGACTTTTATCCTGCAACAGCTTGACAAACTAGTCACAGAAAAGCAGCTGAAAAAAAGCATGATACTGTCCTTCAAACCAAAGTGCAAAAAGTATTACAGGTTCTTATTTATTTTACTGCTTACTCATTTTCTTTAGCAAAATATTTTCTACACTAAACAGGGATTTAAACCAATCACCTCATGCAAGAATCAGCACTATCCAGCCACATCACCAGGCTTCGATTTCAACAAGTGAGGTCGTTGTTGTTAATGGAAAGACCATATCTTTTGTCAAACAAGGAAACGCAATTATTCTCTTGGACAGATGGGGATTTAATTTGAATGTTTATAACTTTTACTAAGACTGTGAAAATATGTAAACTGCTTAATGCAGCAGCAAAACGGGTGATGTATAATAACTGATGTTTATACTTCACTTCTATCACGGTATATGTCTTCTAAAAATAGAAACATCGGCTTTCCACTCATTTTAATCATTTCATAATAAAATTAAAAGCTTATATAGCCTTGGGTCTAGCTAGCTCAGGTTAAATATATACTGCTTCGTTTAAAATACCGAGGGGTTGTCGCATGCATGTATTTCTACTATATTATAGTATATGAATTCTTCTGAACTTCATATCTTACCTTTCAGTCAAGACACTTGGGAATTTTGGGGGGAGGTAGAGAACAATCAGAAAAATTTCGTCATCCAATCGATCGGCGTTGCTAAGCGCCTGCTTAAATGTAGTTGCCGTGTTCAAAAAATGTGACAAAAGTTTCTAGTGCCTGCGCTCTAAAGTAGAAATGGGCCCAAAGATCGATTTCTGTCGTAAAACTGATCTCAGGGACATTTTTTTGCCGAAATTTGTTTCCATTTTTTTCATGTTATCGTGAAATTTTGTCACAAGTGATACATGCAATAATAATCACGACTATGTGTCTATCAATATTTATATAAAAAATCGGGGAAAATCTTTTAAATGCTCGAATTGAAAGCTAAAGACCTATATAGGTTTTAAATCTGTTTTTGCCTATTATTTCAAATATTCAGTTTTAATTTCTCTCCGCTAAAATTTGTATTATGAATATACAATGAGCACGATATTTTTAAAGATCATCCGACCGAAACAGCAATGAGTTTTAAACGTCAAAATTCGATTCTCTTGTTTGGCTGTGGCGAGACTAAGTTCGTTCCGAAATTTAATATTCAAGCATTGCAAATTATAAAATCGATTGTTTATCACACAAAGGACCTTAAACTTCGAAACTTTCTAAAAATCCATGCATGGAATTGCAATGGGACGTAATTGCTCTCGTTTTTTTTTACTATCATTTTTCGACACACAATTTTTCCTCAGCAGTTACAGTTTTGACGCTCGTTTTTAACCAATCCAAAGCGTTATTATATCCAATTTGTCCTGAATTTACATTTAAACTTAGGTTAAATTGTTTTACTGGTCTTATTTAACTGGCCTACTTTGAACAGTACAGTACCACAGGTTTAACGAACCCAGGGTTATAAGGATTTTAACCTAGGTTTAGCACTAACCCGGGTTATATTTAACCTGCTTTTGATGAGCCTTAGGAGTTTAGTACGGTGACAGAATATAAAACAACAAGCGACAGATTGTATTTAATTGATTTTACTGGGAGAAAATTTAATAGCAAATGCCTGCACTCTAAATTTCGAAGTGTCCGACAAACACCAAATAAGTGTAAATACACACAATTTTGGTGTAAATCAGTATGTTACATCCACAAAGTGCAAATTTACCCTTCGAGGTGTATTATTACACCAATATTGTGTTTCCTCAACACCGATTAAGTGTATAGCTAAAGTTTACCTTCTTTGGCGTAAATTTACGCCAAAAGTCGGTAAATAAACACCGTTCTTGTGTAATAAAGCACCACTTTGGTGTAAACATTATCGCTATAATTTTGTGTTGAGTGAGAGCTTGGGTGTGCATGCATTGGAAGCTTTTGTCGGAAAAAAATTGCAAATGGATTATCATTTTTTATATTCCTAAATAACTGGGCAAAGAGTCCCAAGTCAGGAGCAAAAAGCAATTGTTTTCTTAAAATAAGCAAAGCTAATTCCAAAGTCTTGGAAAAAAGATTTGTTCTTTGTTTATATCTTTTTTCATATTCAGAAGAGATGACGGTTTTGATGCAAACGCGACGGTTTTGACGGTTTTATTTCAACATTCTGAATAAATCCCGTAACGCCGTAACTCGCGCAGAGAAATGTTGATAGGATTGCACCACGCTCTCGATGCATGCCGGGATAGCGTCGCTTCGCAGTTCGCACGACGCACGTTGTTGTTTGTTCCTTTGCAAAGTATAAATCGAGAAGTATTTTGAATGTATATTAAATTTTACTGGACATTATGATACAAGATTGCCTGGAGAAGATCGAGGAAATTGTTTTAAAAGTGACTGGGAATCTCAGTCATCTCAGAGGTAAGGTTTTAAAATTATACGCGCAAACAGACGAAAGCTATATATTTTGAATTTCGAATTTGCCGCGTAAACAGTGTACGTATTTAACAGAAATATTCACAGTTTTGCTACTCATTCCACCAAAAAAAATGAATGATTTATAGAAATATGTTATGCCGTGGTTATACTATAGGTACTATGCATATTAAGTGTGATATTGATGTAATGATGTTGGCTAAACCATGGTCAAATACATGAATTTATGTTATATATTAAAATATGAACATGAAACTGATTGAAACATCTGCCATAACAGACTTACAATCTTAGGATTATGATGTACGGAATCTTAGGATCTACATTAATTTTGATTAAGAATTTGAATGACATAGCTGTTTATTGCCTTTTAAATAATTTTTATATGCATCCTTAGATGGTGGATTAACAAGTGCCAAGTGGTGATGTTTATAAGTCTAAGTCATCTAAGTCTGTAATGAACGAGCAGGAAAGTATGGTAAGTAATGCATTATAAGGAATTGTGCAATGCTGTTGGATTATTCACCAACCATATGGCCCAGTTTTAATTGTATAATAATATAATAATAGCACCAATATGATATATGCCTAAAATACCTGTGTTGTATTTGTATTTTTAAGGTGCCAAGGTCTTTCATTTGATGAAAAATATCAACTTGATATTAGTTCAGTGAAACAAGAAAAGAAGCCATTTGACTTGGTTTAAGGAAATAAGGTAAGGAAAAGATCAGTTCAATGTTCATGTGTCATACAAATTGCAAATTCATTGTGTATTAATTTCACCTCCATTATTTGCTTCTTATTTATAAACAATTGGTTATATAGTTAGTTATCATGTAATAGATATATCAAAAATCATTGACAGCTTACCAGATGAACATTTGCTATCTAAATTTTCTAATATGCTTGCTTTTTTGTTTTTTTTAGGAACATGGATTAATTGAGGTAGTACTAGTGTGCGAGAAACTCAGTGGATGAGTGGAAAGTCTCCTCTGTTAATGGTTAATTGGATTCACAGTGTTGCAGAACTTAATTTTCCAGGACAAAAATACTCCAGGTGATCTTATAAATATGCTCATATTTGGGAGGACGTATACCAACTTTACAAACAACTAGTCAGTAATCAAAGAGGAACATTGCTCAGGAGTTAATTACTTTAGCTTATGTGTTAATAACAATAATTGAAGACATGCAGTGAGTTTGCATAGTTCTAGATGCACTTGTCTTCTTTCATAAATATTTTTATTCAATTACCTCTGGGTTCATTATACAGGGGCTTAATTTCAATAATTTGAGTTGTTTCAGCTAGTTTCCTAAACTTGCCAATTGGCAATTTTTAATTAAGTCCTTGAAATACTTGTTTTTTTGAGCAAGGTATGCACAAACCTAGCAGTACTTTGAACTATTTCTACATGTAAATATTTAGAATTTATTCATTCATTCATATGGGCACTAAGTAAATAGTTTTAATATTTTGGACTGATAAGGAATAAGAATAATGTATAATTTTGCCTATGTGATATTTCAAAGCCTACTAATAACTTAATTTCATTGCTAGAAATGAAAGAAATGTATAAGTAGGTTAGAGGGCATATTTGTCCATTCAATTTTGTAATTTTTTATGCTTTATTATGTTCCTGCTTATTGTGGTCATAGGTTTTTAAACAAATACATAATTTATTTATCTTTAATAAAATTGTTTGTTCAATATAGAAGTTCACGTCTGTTCATCATGTAACGATCATTACATCAGTGAATGCAGTGGTTATCAAATACACCTTATGGTGTATATTGACCCCATAAAGTATAAATATACACTTTTCGGGGTACATATACACTTATAGTGTTCCCCCCAACTTGGTGTATAAATACACTCATGGTGTATATTGATACTGTAAAGTGTAAATATACTCCTTACAGTGTAACTATACACTATTCGGTGTACATACAGAGGCAAGAGCATTTACACCAAAATTGGTGTAAATATACCCGGTTGAGTGTATATTGACCTTTAAGAAGGTGTATATTTGCACCTCTTTGGGTGTTTGCAGGGAGGCAGGAATTTACACCTTTTTTGGTGTTTGTACAACACTTGGAGATTTAGAGTGTGCTCTGACAGACAGCTAGAGCTCTATACTAATTATATCATTCATGATGATAAAGAAAGAACATAATTATTGTTAATGACGCCTACTCAAAATATCCACCATGATCTCTTACACAGCTTAAGGCTAGTTTCCACTCAGGAAAAATCCCCTTTGAAAAATCCCGGAAAATTTCCTTTGTCGGTGAGTTCTCAGGCGGCGTTTATACAAAGGAAACTTTCCTGTCCTATCCGATCCAAAGGAGGATTTTCCTGAGTGGAAACTTGCCATTTTTTCATATGTTTAGTGTAAGAACAGACTGACTGGTGGCGTCTTATTGAGACGCGTATAAAAACTATGAATACTATTGTATACAATAAATTACAAATCCTTTAAAAACTAAGCTAAATCAAAAGTTATAAACCAGTAAGCCATTAGGCCACGTTGCGCTTATTTACCAATGCATATGGCTTTGGAGAATTACGTTTAATTTTGAAAGAATTGTGACATAATTATTATGGCAAAGCAAAGCATTATACCAGCATTTTTTCATTTGATTATATTGTCGTCCATACATCATAGAAATTCAAAAAGAAAGAAGATAAATTTTATAGCATATTGCTCCGTTGCCACTTGATTGAAAATCATTTTGAACCTCAGAAAATATAATACCCGATTTGTTGTCTTTATTCGCCTTAAACAACGAGAGGTTAAAGCCGAGTCAGCCACTTGTTTAGTTTCATATAATTGCATGCATGCAATATGATAACATCGCTATACCACGAGATTACATCGCTAAGATTACATCGTTACATACAGATTAAATTGCTACACAAACCGGTCGGTAATTAATGCTCTGGAAACTCGGTGAAAGTTTCTTACTTTCGTTTTTTGTTATATTACGTTGTACGTTTACGAATATTTCAGTCTCTGAGGAAGGTCGAGAAAACTAGAAAGTGCTATTTTCCGGTTTATTTTTTTTGGCAAGGCATACACGGCATGCGACTTTAATTTGTTACTGAAATCGCGATACAAATATACAGTTGAAATGGCAAAATTTTCAACCTCATCTGCTACTATTAAACTTATTATAGGTTATACTACCATCAATATTGCGCGGCTCGTGCACAATAACATTTAAAATATTGCTTACCAAAAATGGTCCACTGCAGTTTGTTTCCACTGCAAATAACGAAATGCTGCGATCAAACAATGCATGCATTCCTAAGGCCCGTTTCAGAGGTCGAACTTTCTATGTGCCGAACGTAATAGTTTTAATTAAGCACATGATAAATTCGACGTTTGAAACGATTAAGTTCGACTGTTTGAATTAAGTTCGACCTAAGCATTAAGTTCAACTGGCTAGGTCGTGTGGAACGACCAAAGCACGACAAAGCGCGACGTTGTTTCAAACGTCGAAGCGATCATGTTCCAAGGCAAAAATATTTAGAACTAAATAAAACTAATTCCCTCGTTCTGGCGTTAAAACCTAGTTTGTTATCGCTTTTTACAAAAATTGTCTATTTTCCTCCATTGGGGGTGTCTGATCTGGGTAACTATGCATGGTGATTAAAGATTATTACACGTCGTTTAACTAAGAGCAACTTGGCTAGCAATATGGCATGGAAAGCATGAAAAGATTTTTATATTTTTAAAAACAAAAAGAAAAAAAATTGTACATGACCTCGTTAAAAATCTTATGCAGCTTGTGGCTATAGGTAGGAAATGTTTGTCTAGCAGGTTTAGAAAGTTGCGTCCAACATTGGTCCTCATATTCTTACTGAAAGGAGGGTTAAACCAAATGATGTTGCGTTGCCTCCTCCTGCGTGCCTTAGTGCGTTTTGGCAAATAGGTGCTGCATCATTAAAATATTGCTCGTGAGACGAGAGTGATAATATGCGTTAATTATTTCCTGCGGGTAACTGTTTAATGACGCATGGCGGGTGTTTGGAATGTTTGTTGATATATATCGGATCGCCATTGCATGGGCTTCCTATAAGGTAAATACTTTCCGGCGGAAAGATAGAAAGTTACGTCTAAAATGGTTGATCTAATAATATATCCGAGACTCTAATGGACGATTTTTGGTAAGCAATACTTTTATATCTGATCTCTTTTTATGGTTTTGAGCTCTCTCTAGCAATTCGTAAACCGAACGACACCTTAATATTTGCCGATAAAAATCGGCCGACAAAAATCGTACAACAAAAATGGTAGACAGTAGAGGGATAGACAATAGATGCAGGTAGACAATATAGGAATGACATTATGTCTGTTAATGGTACTGTCGTCTGTGCTAAACCAAACTTCTTTGAATTCACGTGCGTGTTTTGTGCTCGATCTAGTCTCAAATATTGATGGCATTCGATTTTGGAATAGAAATGGATAAAAATTTTTGAGGAAGCGAATTTCCGGGCCACGTGTTTATTTACTATACGTATATGAGGGAAAAAAGGGAAAATCTAGTCTATTATATATCAGTGGCGTAGCCAGCATCGATAATTGGGGGGCCCATATTCATATATTCATGTTAACAGACTGTAAAGACAATTTATTTGAAAAGAAATTAAACCTGCGTATCACGAATATATGAATATTGCCCCCCCCCCAATTATCGTTCTGGCTACGCCACTGTTATATATAACCCAAGGTACTTAATTGAATCATTGTGACCTCAGTAGCAATTTACACGGACAGGTCCATATCTAAAACTAATGCAGCGCGGGAAAAAATTCCATCCATCATGACTGCAATCCCAGATGAATGATTCATCACCAGAGCATTGAACATTCGAGAGAATTACAGAAATACCACTTCTTTTACCATAGTAATATAAGGTTCTGATCACAGTCCCTCCAGAGAAACCCAGCTGACGACAGACGACGTTGGCTGCGGTGTTTTTCAAATGTTTATACACGTTATCACCAATATGGATTCTACTACAAACCATTCCCCAGCCAAGTCTGGGATGATATATTTGTATTCTTCCGCTCATATTGTTGCTCGAACCATTCAACCTGATTTGTAGATCAGAGTAGGCTGTAATTGAGACAATTACGCATGTAAGAAAGTATATTCGGTGTAGTACATAATATATAGTATATATATATACTATATATATATATAATAGGTAGCTTAAACTCGATTTGCTGCGCTCGCAGACGAGATCACTAGCTTTTATTATCATATAACCCATTATTATTACCATAATGATCCCAATCATACGATCTCATGAACGTAGGCGGTAGGCCGTTTTTGTGACATCGCTGGAAATTTCAAGACACTGGTCCTTGCGGGCAGTGTAAAAATCTAATCCGCACGCGAAAAGCAAGCTGGGATAACAATTACAACGTGGTTGAGTAATTATGAACATAATGCCGACTTAACGCGGTTGATATGTTGTGTCAACAAACTAACGGAAAATAACACATCCTTTGGGAAAGGGGGTACCACGTCTCCAAACATGCTTGCTTTTTATTGACCAAGGCGCACAAGAAACGACTCTTAGCGTAAAGTTAGAGTTAGTGAGCATGAGTTTTTGATCGTTTCATAAAAAAGTTATATAATAATGCTTTCGGTACTTGGTTTTGTGAAATTTATATTTAGTGGGCACTATATCATTCTGATCAGCAATTCGAATGATGCGCCTTGCTGTTTCATGGCATATTATTCAGTGCATGTGCACCCAGGTGATGAAAATACCTAAAATTTTGTTGGAAAGGGCAACTATACAAATACACATGCATGATCTCCCTATAAAAAGTCTTAAAATATACTAATATAGTAAAAGTGCAAAACTTAAGACTTGGGCATTGCCCACTGTTTGACGACCTCGGGATAAATAGAACAACCATATTGCAGAAATAAAATGTTACCTAATCCCGAGATATATAAAGGAATCATTTTGAATAATTTAATGCAAAATGAAGAAAACCACTTGCCACTCAAAACAATGTCATTAGTAAAATATATGACTGCGCACGAAGGAGGACTGGAGTGTCCTGCAGTTCCAATAGTCTTTTCGCTATTTGTATAAAAAATAGGTACGCAGTGCGTACATGTGGGTAGCCTCTAAAATTTTGCAAAACATTGGATGCGATAAAGCTATGGCTTGGCAAAAAATTTCAACTACAGGCTATTATAGTGGCGAGTAAATATAAACTAATGCTTATAATTTTACTTTCTAATACCATACGCAATGGCAAAAATTATAGCCAGTTGAATTCAGTTATAACGAAATCGATTTTATTGCAAAATATAAAAATTATGTTATATTTTTTATTGTATTGTATTCTATTGTAAGTCTAGCTTCCCTTTGTTGACTAGTTTCATGTTGTCTTTTGCATTTTTTAGCATTATTATTTTGTGCAAGTATGGCTTCTTTTTGTTGAATGGCTCATTCTGTCGTCCCAAATTACTATAAGCCCTTATTTTTTTCAGGTTTAGTTTGACTTTCTTGTTCAAATAGCTCAGTAGAATCAGTCCTATCTGAATTTTTAACATATTTTGTATACAACTGTATCATATTAGAATTAATGCATTTTACACCCTTTAAC